CACACACACACACACACACACACACACACACACACACACACACACACGTTCTGGGGTTTCATTGTCTGCCTCTGCTTTGGTGGTCGATCTGAGCTGCTGATCTTTGTGATGAAACAGAGAAGGTAAAAAGAAGGAAAAAGGACAAGAGGCAGGAAAGATTGCATTCAATCAAATGGATAGCAACTGGACCTTCTCGACTGATGGGTGTGGTCATCTCACTCACGGGGCTTCAGGTGTTATAGGCCACAACAATTTTGAATTAAAGAAGCCTCTGATATGAACAGTGATACATCTTCAATCCGTCTGGATTTGACTCGTCTTCCTCCAGACGTGGTCTCGGCTGGATGAGGGGAATCCTGAATATATCAGGCTAAGTCGGCTTTTCAATGAAGATGCAGACCTCGATCGCGGCCACCAGAGGAGGGGGAGTGAGGCAGCAGCCTGATAAAATACATGCTATCAGCTGCATTGTGGTCTAATTGGCTCCTATTGGAGGGTTTTCAATGAGGAATAACGAAGGCTTTGTTAGACAGGACCTCTCTCTCTAACACACACACAGATACAAGCACACACACACACACACACACACACACACACACACACACACACATCCATGCACGTACACACACAAAGACAGGGCTGCAGTGTTTTGTCTGCTGTGACTTCAGTCTGATAATCAGTAATTAGGTAATTGTGTGTGTGTGTGTGTGTGAGAGGTTTGTTATCAGCTGATCAGACTCGCACTGAGAGCAGAAACACACTGATGATCTGATGCGTTTCCACCTGAGGTTTGTGTGTCTTCGAGTGACATGTCTGTCTGGGGATGTGCATGTATTGTGTGTGTGTGTGTGTACACATCAGTGTACGTGCAGTCATAAAAAAGTTCTTCTCGGAAAGTTTCTGAAGTTAAGTGTGTTAGTAGTCTGTTAAACTGGCGGCTAGGTTGCAGATGTTACTGAGGAGGTTACAGTGGGACTCTCACATTCTCTCATTCTCACAATACAAGACTGATTGCACATCTTCACAGACAGAGAACCGGTAATCTCTGAGATAGTGTGGTGCTTAACTAATCTTTAATTTTTTGCTAGCGGCATGGCTCTAGTGATGGAAATGTCAGTCTGTCAGGTCAACAGTTTAGTCCAGACTGAATTATCAAGTTATCTCAATTTTGTAGAGACATCTATGGTGAATCCTGAGGTAATTGTTGTTTTGATACTTTTATGAGCAAATATCTGCAAAACTAATAACATTCCCATCATTCTCAGCTGAACTTTGTATTCATTGCCAATTAGCATAAAACTACCTTGTTGCCAAGAAAAATTTACTTTTTCTGCAAACCACAAATAATATGTTGTTTAATAATAGATGTTTTTGTTTGTGGTCAGATCCAGTTATGTAGTACAACAAGCCACGCCGCAGAGCAAGTGATGTAATATATCGAGTGAATGTTATTGAATGTTACTCGTATAATAACATCATAATAATACTGTATAATAACGAGCATAACGAGCTAGAAAGAGGTGATGGATGGGTCAAACAAACACAGGACTTTCACCCAGGAGACCACTGCATGTGTCCTGTGGGAAAAAACCGTGATCTCTTTCTCTAACCTGAACCAAGTAGTTTTGTTGACATGGAACATATTTATGAAACATACTTTTGGTTCAGAATCGTCAACATTCAATGTATCCCGTGGTTTGCAGAAATGTACAATACTAAAAAAACACTCTGTTGACTGGGTTGCATAAAAACAAGATAACGTACAGTGGTGACCAGGGTTAACATTATGTGCCCTATTTCAACAATATACATATTATCTAAAGTGCATTAGAACGTGTCCTACTCCACTTTTGCTCACACATAAACACGACGTCGGGTTTAACAGTTTACCATATACCATTGAAAAAATACACTCATCACGAAACGAATATAATGATATCACATACCAAATGAAACTTCAGAACCTGGGCTACAATAATATTCAAGCCGTTTGTACATGCTCCAAACACAACTCTAACAACTCAAACAACCAACTATAAGAATGACCAAAATATCATAGTCATATTTGGCCATGAGTGAGCAGACTCCACACATGTCAGGAGCTACCGAGAGATAGCTACATGCTAACATAGTAAACTGAGATGCCAGTAAGCAAGCCAATTCTACACAGATTCCGGAGATATCTTCAATATTTCTCTCCGTGAAACCATTACCGAGATATGAGCCAACAAACACCAGCAACACAAACCGCTTTTTCGATTATTATCAGAAAACGCACCTCACCTTTCGCCGTTTTCATGAAGACAAAGTATAATATCCCGTTGTTTTCACTCAGATATCTGTTCAACGGATATCCTGTTTATCAGTGAACTCCTTCCGTGAATACAGGGGGTGTAATCTAAGCATAGGGATCTGGGGGGAGGATTTGACTTTTGGCTTATCGGATTTTACGCTTCATGAGAGACGGTGCCTTGTTGATTCTGACTGGCTAACAGTGCTGTCAATCTTTTCCACGTGGCTCTAGCTCAATTCTATTGGCTCTAACGCGTCGAAAGAGGTGTGAACCACTGAAATAGACCAATGGGCTGCTGACTTACAAGTCCGCGTAGACACAGAGGACTGGATTTTGGAAAAAACTCCATGACGCGGAGACACAGAGAGAGGGCTCAGAGAGGATTCTGGCTCTCAAAACAAAGCCAAACTGCTGTATGTGGATGTATTGAACACCATTAGCGATAAAACAAGTGAAATATATAGTTATATAGGATAGAAAATTAAAATGGAACAGATGGTTCCAAAATGACCATTTTGGTGACCTCACCTGACCTCTCCGTACTAAAACCTCTCTAATTTTGTTCTGCTTCACTTTATCAATGTCAAACTTTGCAGATGGACTCTTCACATGTTGTGCTATGATTTGGGAGAGGTTTAAACTTTCAGCTGCATCGTTCAAAAGAGATAATCATCCTGAAAGTGCTATTTTTTTCAGGCGAACCTGAAACCTTTCAATTTGTGCTGTGTGCCATCTTCATTTACTCTTCACCAGTATATTGATTTTACACATCTGAACAAATCTCACAAGTGTTCCCTTTATTATAACACCAAAATTATTCAAATACACCTTGTGGTTGCAGAGATATACTCTTTTTAGTATGGGTATGCAATTTTCGAGCAGAGGGCTAAAAAATAGGGTTAGGGTTCAACAGATACATAAGCTTGGTGCGAGTAAGGCGCAGGGAGCAAAGAGGTTGTATTTAGTCTCTCAAATAATCATCATGAATTCATCCAAATATTCGGTTCAGTCTTATATTGAAGAGCTTCATACTGTGTTTACTTATTAGGATGGCAATTTTTTAAGTGATTGACGTTATACACATTTTTTTCCATCTTATTTTCCTATTTTGTTTGTATAGATATATTATTTTACCAAATCACATATTTAGTATTAGTTTTTTATGCTTAAGTTGTGGGTTTACTTTATCGCCTGATGACTTTTTGACCTCTTCTGTCACATCTGTTTTACTGCTTTTTTCTGTTTTTACGATGTTTAATAACTGCATAATAAACTGAGAATAAGAGTGTATCGCCTCACTAGCAGCCTGCTCACAGAGCCTCAAAGCTTGAGTTTGCTGTGTCGTGGAGTTGGCCCCGTTTTCATCCTGTGATGCATAAATCTATATGCTGTGACGCTGGTATGGAAATTTAGTCAGATAGGCAATGATGTTTTTCTGAATCTGAATCATTAAGCCGTGGAAGCCAATTCTTGCTTGGTAAAGAAATACCAAGTGTTGTTTAATTAGCAGACAAATGTGCAGGAAAAACAAACAAAGCAAGATAAAAAAAGAAATGAATTCTCCAGTCGTGGGTCATCATCTGAAACATTGAACCTCTAATAAACTCAGTGCTGACACTGTGCAGGAATTCAACTTGCTTTCTTCTGCCAGGAAAATAAAAAGTTAAAGATGATTCAAATAGATCTATACACAGTGAGTCAAAATTATGAGCTGACTGAAAATGTCGAAAGTTACGAGAAACGAATTTAAAAGTTGACTCTTCACGTCGAAAATGATGAGAAATAAGTACAAATGTTGATATTCTCCGTCAAACCTGTGAGTTCAACGTTTGACTTATGTCAGACTTCTGACATGCCAAATTAACAAAAATACATGAAATATTCAGGCAAAATGTTAATTTACTATCTTCATTTACTCTTATAACTTTGGTTTACCAAGATCATTTTTTAACTATATAATTTCTTCTTTTATTTTCTTTATGCAAATGAACTTCCATACAATCGTAGTAAAATCATATTTATTGTACAGCAAATAAAATAATAAACGATGTAATAAAAAAATTACCAAAAAAAAGTATTCATAATCCTTAACAGAGCGCATGCTGATGAATCAATGAACGTTTGCTCTCAGGTATAATTGAAGTGTTAAAGTACCCGGTGCGACCAGAG